TTTTTTTTTTTTTTTTTTTTTTTTTGTTGCTTAAACAACAATTCACTAAAATGTATAAAATAACTTTAGCCTTTTTTTTTTCTTTTTGCTTTAATCGTTTTAATGACGTAAATAATTTTTGTCTTCTGCAACTAACAAAACACAGTTAAAGATTCCGTCCGTAAAACAATCGACAGTACGAAAAAAAAACAAAACTCTTCTCCTTCCCCATCTTTCCTCTCTTTCCCGTTCCTCTTCCCTGGAAAATTATTTGAATACACTTCTAAGTGAATTGAATAGAGAGAAGGAAACGAAAAGCGTTTGATAATGTTTGGTAATAACTTTGCTTCCCCGTCCTGCTGTCTCCCGTTCCTTTAAGTTTTTTTAAAAAAATGAGGAATTATAAGCAGAAAATTGAGGTTATAATTAAAGCCAGCGGAAGAATCTAACAAGAAACCTTGAGCTAATTGTTGAACGTTCCGTTGATCGTCTATCATCGTCCTCGTCACGTTTCAGCGGTATATGTGCTGCATAACGTTCATGACGAGGTTTTGCAGCTGCAGCAGCTGCAGCTTCAAAATTACAGGTTATTGGAGTGCCTCCTGAAAGTAGCAGTTGAAACATTTTGACAGTTCTGTCAACTTAGTTTTAGGGTGGTGTACCAATTTTTTTTGTTTTACTTGTTTACAGGAATATGTTTAACTCGATGATAAACTGTAGAATTTATTCTATTTGTATAGAAGAAGACGAGAATTACTTTTTTTTTGCAAATAACCTCAATCTAGAAAAAAAAATATATATATATTAAAAAACTATTGACAGCTAAAAGAGTTGTTGATTTTTTTTTTGTCGAATATACCATTAACCACCATCGATAAGCTAAAGTATTATTAATCAATCTTTTTTTTCTGATAAATTATTAGTGTCTTAAATAAAGTTTGAATCGTATGCAGCAATCTATTTTTGTAACTTTTGAGTAAAGTGTAATGTTAATAATTCAAATTTTAACTACAGTCGCAAATATCAATAGAAAATAAAATTTTTACTATCTATAAAAACAAAAATGAGTTAAGAATTTGCTATTAGAAAAATTTTTTTTTCTTTCCTTCTAATAATTCCTTTTTTCCAGTTTTTTTTTTTGTTTTCTTTTTGCTGTAATTCTAACATAGCCAATATTTCAAAATGTGCTAAGTTTTTTTTTTTTTTCAACTTTCAATTGTGCAAAAGCAAAGTTTTGTTGTTTGTAGTGTCTAATTTAAGTATAGCAGCAACAACTTAGTCAATTCAAAGCAAAATAAAAGATTCTTTTGCAAACAATACAAAAATATCAGTAAATAATATGTTAAACAGAAAAAAAAAAGGAAAAAAGCAATAGAAATTCAATATAACCATTTCTAATATTATATATATATATATATCAAAGATAGTTCTCTTCTTTTTTTTTTCCCCCAGCATACAGTAAATAATAATAATAATCAGCAACAAAAAAGCGGAAAACTGATAAAAGCTTTTCATAATTCTGTATAAAAAAAAAAAAATAAAATTTGATTTCAGTGACCAATAAAACCAAAACAAAAAAAAAAAAAGCTGTTTCTGTTTTAAACTTTCAATCATTCCACAAAATTTTATGCTGTTAATCATTCCATAAATATTTGTTCTTTCACATTTTTTTCATTTCTCTTCAGCCACCACCACCACCACCACCACCACCAACAGCAGCAGCAACAGCAGAAACAGAAGCCGAAAACAAACTTAGAATAATGTTTCCAAAATAAATGGGTTGTTACGAAAAAAAGAAATAAAGGCAAAAAAAAAAAACAACGAAAAAAATAGCC